ATTGTAGTAAAAACTTCCCAGCTGCGTTTCATTTTCTTTTTCCTTATTTTACTTACATTATCTGCCTTTTCCATGCGAAAATATACAGGTTTATGTTGATTAAAAAGCATTTCAATTTGCAAAATAAAAGAACTCTTCACACATTGATTTCTTTTTCATATCTCGGCTATATCTATAAAACTTTAAGAACATTACAAAATTATTCGCTTTTCGTAAATTTCCGGCTTCAAGCATATTCAACCTAAAAAAGCATTTACTCTTTTTACGATTAGCTGATTCATTTTTCTATATCTAATTACGGAAAGTTATGTTATTTCATTGAGAATGTATGCATTTTTCCAGCTGGTCATGCAGGTGGACACTGTGTTGACATACATAACGGACGGTATGGATACAGTACGGGATAAGCTGAATATGCTGCAAAAAACGCTAACAGAAGTCAGCTTTTTGGAGTCGGCTGAGATTTACGGGGAACGAATTGAGTTGGAGCGGTGAGTACACGTTATCTAGTTATGCGGATGAGTACTAAGACTTGCAAGATTTTGATCGAAGATCGCTGGCTTTTATGGTTTCTCTTGAATTTTTTTTTGGGAGTTGGTATTGTTTTTGAGTTTTCTGTAGTTTTTATCTTTACTAACACTGCAACAGTATTGTTGGCTAAGTAAATAGAGAAGCAAAGTCAAGTGTTTGTTTACCTATCGCATCCTTGTCATCAACACCATCCTTCCCTTAAATGAGAACGTTGTAATTATGATCCCCTCTCAGCCATAGAATAGCTCAGATATCACAACCAAGCTTCCATACGCTCTCGTAATAACCGTAGTGTGTCGTGAACAATCACAGCACATTTTTCTTTGACCAAAATATCAAATTTCGTTGTTCAAGGCCATCGAAATGCAGCGAGGAATTTGTTTTCGACTCGAAAATCGATCATTATGTGGGCATTATACTGCTATAAACTGCACACAGCCGCATAATTGGTTTTGCCTGATAATTGAGTTGTTTCGAGCCGTACGAAAAGGCGCTAATTACGGTTGCGAGCACACAACAATTTCGCGCCGATTGCAGAGCTTGCGGGATATTTGCTCAGCAGGCTTTGTAGCAGATTCTGAGAATTTCAATGGATAATACTATTCTACAAAATGTTCAATTTTTTTACAATTATCCGTAACCATTTCTTGGCTTGCTTCCAACTTCAGCTACGAACTTAGAAGAACGAACATTCGTCATCCTCCTTTTCATCTCCAAGGGTATGAATCAGCCCGTATGTGTCCGGTGTGATTTGTTTGCGGCCCATAGCTGGGACCATCTGGATCTACCAACTCGACCATCTCACATTACGTCTCATCTACGCTCGATATGTTCGTTCGTTGTGTGCTCGCCTAATCGCTCACATTCGAACTAACACATACACGAGAAGAAAGAGAAGCAGACAAGTCCGATGAGGATAGCGAATGGCATCTTAATGAACGCTTTGAGTTGGCTCGATGCGCGCATGTAATTGCCTGAATCTAAGCTCGATTTAGCTTAAGCTAATTGGGAAAGCTACAGGGGTTGAGCATTGTTGAATACACGGCTTAGGGAAGGGGCATATTCACAGATTTTTCTAGAAACGTGAAATTTGTTCATGTATTGAAATCTAATAAAAAACATTACTTGTCAAAATCTTACGGAACAAAAGATACTGAATTTATATTGTAATGGTCGTAGATCTTTTTAATCACACCTTTAATCTCATGGCTTAGAATTAATCCTCAACTCTCTACTATCTTTCAATATTGTGGTCATTAAAAAAATAACATTAATAGCGTTTGAAAAAACCTAGCTGTCAGAAATTTAAGTATCTTCGAAATTATAAGAATAAAGGCAATATTGTATCTATTTTTTACGATCCTATTTATACCTTTTTTATATGTTCTATCACACTTTCCGTTCTAATGTTTGTTTGATTTTAGATGGATGCTATTAGTTACGCTACTCTCAATAATGATGTGCGTTTTGTTTGCTGGAGTGATCTCGTTTTGTCGACAATCAAAAAAAGGCGCTGTGGTATTTTCCGGTCTTGGCATTGTCATATTCCTTGTTGTATGGACGCTATTCTGCCTGG